GCATCTGCATTATCCAAGAACCCGAATCCTTTACCCGGGTCGGGTCAAATCAACTCAAACTCCGTCCTCGTAGCTCTTCTCGACTCTCGTTACACAGAACTCTCCGAGCTCGTCGAGAAAGCTCTTCTCCTTCAGACACTTGAAGATGCAGTTGGTCGTCACAATATTACCATTTTTGCCCCTCGCAATGAAGCTCTTGAACGTGACCTTGACCCTGAGTTTAAACGGTTCTTGCTCGAACCAGGTAATCTCAAATCTCTCCAAACACTTCTCATGTTCCACATTATACCTAATCGGGTCGGGTCGGATCAATGGCCATCTGAGGAATCGGGTCGGGTCAAGCACCATACGTTAGGTAACGATCAGGTCCATTTGAGCAAGACTAAAGAAGACGGTAAAAAGATGGTTGATTTAGCTGAGATTATCCGACCCGATGATTTGACCCGACCCGATGGATTGATCCATGGGATCGAACGGCTTCTCATTCCTCGCTCTGTACAAGAAGATTTCAATCGCCGTCGTAGTCTACAATCAATCTCCGCCGTATTACCCGAAGGAGCTCCGGAAGTTGACCCGAGAACAAACCGTCTCAAGAAGAAGGTCGCTCCGGTACCCGCCGGATCTCCACCGGCTCTTCCGATCCAATCCGCAATGGCTCCAGGTCCGTCGCTAGCTCCGGCGCCCGCTCCGGGACCGGGAGGTAAGCACCATCACTTCGACGGTGAAGCTCAAGTCAAGGATTTCATCCACACGCTGTTGCATTACGGTGGTTATAACGAAATGGCAGACATTCTTGTGAATCTGACGTCACTCGCGACGGAGATGGGTCGGTTAGTGTCGGAAGGTTATGTGTTAACGGTTCTTGCTCCGAATGATGAAGCAATGGCGAAACTGACGATTGATCAGTTGAGTGAGCCAGGAGCTCCGGAGCAGATTGTGTATTACCATATTATACCGGAGTATCAGACGGAGGAGAGTATGTATAATTCTGTTCGAAGATTTGGGAAAGTGAAGTTCGATACGCTGCGTTTTCCTCATAAGGTTGCGGCTAAGGAAGCTGATGGTTCGGTTAAGTTTGGAGACGGTGAGAGGTCGGCGTATTTGTTTGATCCTGATATTTATACGGATGGTCGGATTTCGGTTCAGGGGATTGATGGTGTTTTGTTCCCTGAAGAAGAGAAGATTGTTGAATCGGTTAAGATACCGGTTAAGAAAGTTGTTCAGCCGAGAAGAGGTAAGTTTTTCTGTTCTTGTTGTATTGATCTTTCATGTGTTTCCTCAAAATGGTTTGCTTAGTATCAATTGACAAGTTTAGATGATTAAGCACCAATAGTTTGGTAAATCGATATGATATTGAGCTCGAACTGGTTTCCTGGTTTTGGTCAATAACCGAGGCTTAATGTGATCTTGAGAATGGTAGTTTTGCGAATGTCTGAGTAAGAACAAGATTAGGATTCTGAGAATGTAAGTTAGGCCTAGTAATTCGAATAGGATGGGTCTAGTAGTTCAATCTCATTCTGTGAAATGCAGGAGACGCCTTTTTTGTCAATGGCTCGGTGCAGAATTACCGAGCCAATTGGACAATCCCGGATGCTGCAAGCCTGCAACCACGAGCAAGAGTTAGATTAGAAGTATGTTAGGAAAGTAGAGATTTGTGAGAATATTGGATGATACTAAACAGAAGCAAGAATCAAAGAAGTGTTAGGCTCTTTCGTGTGTCTTTGGTCATAGCCATTGGAGCTGGCAATAAGCATTTTGTCATGTTTCCTATCTTCAAGATGGTTTGTTACTTAAATTATTGGGAATTTTGTTATAGGCTTTTTGTAAAGTAGATATAATATTATTATAACTAAGGGGACAGTTATGGAGAGCTTAGAGTGTGTAGGCCTAAGAGTGTGTGATTGTGATGGACTTTGACACCTAATAAAGGTGTTATTCTTGTGATTGAAACAAGCAGGGAAATTGTTGGAAGTAGCCTGTAGAATGCTTGGTGCTTTTAGCAAGGACTCTTATCTCAGCAAATGCCGGTGAATTCGCAAACCCGCCTATGTACACACATTAAAAAGGTTAGGATATTTGTGATCTTTGTTTCGATTGTCATTTGTCATTGATCCGCTCAAGCGGTTAGCGATGGTAAAAGGAATTCATGTCTTTCTCTTTACACACACAGCTGATTAAAGATTTGGCTTTGGGTGAATAGAAAAGGAAGAGAGGACACCAACGTTTAAAAAACCAATCTTCCATGGAATGAGAAGGATGGTTTTTTTGTTTTTCTCTTAAATATATATATTTTTGGGGGGTGTTTGATATGTGTTCTTGGATTATCAATACTGTAATTAGATATATCAATCATTTTTTAATTAATTTGGTGGTGTATGAGAATGTGAGTACAATTAATAAAAGGGAAAACCAAAAAAGAGAGAACAAAAACCTTTTCTTTCACTCTTAAGGATTTGTTGTTTTTGGGACCCCTTGGCTTTTACTATGAGAAAAGTATATTTCCACTTGGTATGGTAAGATAATAATTGAATT